TTGCTAAGCTGGAGCTGGTGGCTGGCTGTTAATGGCCTGCCGGGACTTGGAACACAAAGTAGTAGCAGTCTCTTTCATGGTGTTTCTAGTAGTGTGTTAAATAAGCAAGGCCAGAAATATATCTCTAAGTAAAATACACTGTCACTGATGCTGGTGACAGAACAGCTGGCATGCTTCTTAAAGTTGCTTATTTGTACAGGGTGCATAGTTATAGAATTGTCTCTCTTTGTTTACCTACAGTTTACTGAAGGTTTCTCATAAACAGATTTTTGTCAAGCCTTGCAGTGTTTATCTTAAAGTTCAAGTGAACTAGAGAAATCAGTGTAGTTCCTGGGTTATGATTTCATTCACTGGTTCAGTTCAAACTCAGTGGAGCTTGTGACTACTGAGCAAGGTTTGGTTCCTTGATATTTGGGAAGTTCTTTCACTCCTTCAATGCCAGATGCTTTCCCTATTATATGGGTCTTTCTGAGGGCTGAGAGAGTGAGGTATTACATTTTTATAGAAGTGGAAATTGCGGGTTTTGCAAGGACTTGTTTGTGAGCAATACAGAACCATGTAGTACTATCAAATTTCTTTCTCTGCTTTCTGCTTGAGATCTTGAAGATAGGGGACAGGAGAATTTTAATCCAAACTATCAGTAGTTAGTGGAAGGCATTCAAAGTATTCTCAGTTTCAGTTGAGACAGTTAAACTGTTTAAAGAAAAACAAAAAAAAATCCCAAACAAACCACCCAACAACACAATGGTAAGAAACTTCCAAGAGTGCTGATTACTTGAAATTACATGAATGGCTGAATATGGTGCAGGTAAAGGGTGTGCAGTTCTTAAAGGGATGTAGGTGATCTGCTTCCTTATGATGCATGTTAAAATAGTGCTGGCTGCTGTCATATCAGCCGTTTATCACTGAACAATGCTTGCTGTAGGCAGATGTAAAAAGAAAAAGCATTCAGTAGCTGTGTGTCTGCCCTCTTCCCTAGTAATCTGTTGCTGAATGAAGTATTTCTAACCTATCCACAGTGAATGTCTGACAGAGGTGCTGTTGCAGTCAGGCATCCCTTGTGGTGATCTGGGTGCAGTGTGGGGGACCATGCAGGTTATAAACTCCAGGTCTGTGTTAATCTTCAACTTTGGAAAATTTTTCTAGTGCGACGTAGCTGTGGAGCCAGTAGCATTAAAGGCTCCAAATTCCAAGCCCTGCTGAAGAATGCTGGCCAAGTTTTTTCCTCCTCCTTTCTTCACCCTGCCATAGTATTTGTCATTAATATAAACCATACCACGTGCTTTCTCTGGCTATTACTGTTGCTTGAAAACAAGTCCTTATATAACCTGTTCAAAATCAAATGCAGAAAGATCTCAAAGGCAGTAGGCTTGAAGGGATCAGAAACAGAGGGGTTGCAAGAAAGGAAATAAACTCTAAAGCCAGCTTCCTACATTGCCTGCACAGGCACATTACCATACAGCAGTGTCTGCTGTTGAACTGCAGGAAACGCAGTAACTTGCTGTCTGCCTTGAAGGTCCTCAAGCTCTAAAGCTCCATGTCAGGTTGTTTTGAGAGCTGGCCTACCTGTGGTTCTCATGTGGTATTAATGTCATGAACCTATATGTGTTATAGGCTCCTACTGCTTCCAACACTATCCAAAACAATATTAGTACATCTAGTCTGTCTCTTCCTGCAACACTTATTTTAATGTAGCTTACCATTAGAAGCTTGTTCAGAGATAATTTTAAATATGCTATTCTAAAAGCTGTGTCAGTCTGTTACTGCATGTGTACAGCACACACTGGAAGACTTGTCTTCCATCTTCCTGTGAGAACACTTCTTTCCAGACTGACAAAGAAACTTGATTTCTTTCCTCAATTGAAACTCAGAAGAAAGTAGACTTCAGTCTAATGTTGGAGTTAGGGGTGGGACAAGATGCCTTTAGGCTTAGTAATAGGATACCTCTAGGTCACTAGGTTTAAATGGAGCATTAAGTGAACATCATCAGATATTATCCTACTTTGCAGCTGTTTGGTATTGTCAGTTCAATTCATACAGATTAGTTTTTTAGGATGCAGTGCTCTGCTAACAACTACCATTACTTCTTGTATTCTCTGCAGTAGAAAAGAGTCAACAGAATAAAACCTACCTTCCTATGAAAGTTTATAGGAGATCTTGAGTCTCGGCTATTGCTCCTAATTTGTGCTGAAATCTCCTTTGGGTTTTGGATGACATTATTTAAAAAAATACTGTTGAATGAGTCTTAGAGCTTTTTAAAGGTTTTGTGAGTGTTTAAGCCTCTCATATTGCAACAAAATAGCTGATAACTCTCTGGTCAGAAACAAACACCGGCTCTGGTTATTGCATCAGAGAAGTGAATGCTGGGCCCTTTGAGTTTAGTACGTATTGCATTTGTGTGTTAGTGGATTTCAGACTGAACTGTTAGTAGCATTAATTAATGCCCTAATTTAAGTCTGGGTTTGCTTTTTTGTTTTATTGGGGTTTTTTGTTTTGGTTTTTTAAAAGGTTGCATGTAGTGTCCCAGTCATAGTTTTAAGAAGGGTATTTGGCAAAGTTAAGAATACTGATCTAAGAAAGGGATTGAGGTAAGCCCTCTTTTTGTAATGGTAATGTCGAGGAATTTGGGGTTGTCTTTAGATTTGATATGTTTCCCTTCAGAGGCTGTATATTACTGTAGGAATATACCCACAGATAGGAATGTGGGTATTGATAAACTGGTTATGAACAAATACCAAAAGAATCCCCTGAGCAGAGCTGCTAAAGGCAGTATATTCTTGGCTGTGTTCTGTAGCAGAATGGGAGTAACTCCACTGTCAGCACAAGTCATGCACTGCTTGCCTTTGCTTGCTCACAGAAACAAGTGACAGACTGAAGAAAAATCTGCAAGTCTTCACCTGGTTGGCTACTTAAAACTCTTTTGTCTTACCACGTTCTACTCTACGGTATCTAGTCGGTCTTGCTGTAATGGACAGAACTCAAGAAGCACTCAGAGAATTGTTGCTTTCCTGGAACAATGCCCAAAACACAAATGGAGTTTTGAAGATGTCTTGATAAGTATTTTAATTTTATTAGATTGCCACATGACGGTTGGACTTGATGATCTTAAAGGTCTTTTCCAACCTAGACGATCCTATGACAGTTTTCACCAGTTTTTACATGTAGCCCTGTGTGCATAGTGCACAAATCTTTTCTACCCTTAAGGATTTTTGGCACCTTGTTTGTAGTCAGGAGTGCACTAAACATTCAAAAAAGGTTAAAATTTACCATAAGAAGTTAAACATTTTGGATACTGAGCTGCTTTCCAGAACTGATTTGAACAGCATGTACTGAAGACTGTGCACCTTCACTACTTTGGGAAACTTTTTTTTGTCTGTTTGAATTTTCACTCCAAGTTATGGGGTTAGCAAACTGTCTTAATGGTTTGCTTGCCTTTAAGGGCAAATAACTGCAGCACTGTCACACATGTTCCAGTTGTTTCTTCACCTTTTGCAATTTAACTGTGTTGATTATAACGTTAACTGTATGTGAATGTATACTTCAGTTTCTTTGCAGTTAAGAATATGATGATCCTATTTCTTTCTGCAGATGTGGAGGTACTGTTGGTGCAATTCTGACGTGTCCACTGGAAGTTGTGAAAACACGATTGCAGTCCTCTTCTGTGACTCTCTACATCTCTGAAGTTCATCTCAACACAGTGAATGGTGCTAGTGTCAATCGAGTAACAAGAGTTTCTCCTGGACCTCTCCATTGTTTGAAGTGAGTGTATATGTTACTAGGTTTTTTGTTCATTTTGGGGAGGGAGGAAGAGAGGTGTGTTGGACAAATCCATGTGAAAGATTCAGACTCTTACGTCTGTTGTGATGGTACCGCAACTTTCCATAGTTTGCCTTTTAGCTGTAATTAAGTTTCACAGTCCACAAGTCCTTCATGCTTGAGTTTGTATCTTGAATTAGTCAGAGCATATATACCCTGCACAATTCACAGCTCCAGACTATGTCGCCAAAATGCACTGGGAGCACTGTAACGCTTATGTGCCAGACTCTATTTTCATCCTGAAAAAGTGTTGTTATAAGACTTGTAAACTGTTTTGTGTCCAAGTCATAGATGTTGCTGAATATGGAGGCAAGAAGCCCTGTGAAAATTAACTCGGCTTCTTAGTTTCTCTCAACTTTGACCACTCCATACCATTCCTGCCTTTTGGTGTCTTCTGGTGGATGTGTGACTTTTTTAGAGCTAGTAAGAGATAGGTATGCCAGATTTTGCCATGATCTGGGACGCTTTGTTTGCATAGCACCTCACTTAACAGGGACTGCCTTTCCTCTTCTTGCCACCAGTGTCTGTGATGTTCAGTAGCCAGCAGGAAAATTGTATGGCCACAGTTAAACTGCTAATACAGACCACAGGCAGGGTTCACTTCAGTCTGGAGGACTCAAGCTAGCCAGTTCTGTGGAGGTACCTTCAGTATTTGGGAATGAGGGGAGTTTTCCTCCAGAAAGGACCTGCTACTGCTTCTTATACTAGAAAGAATTTGACAAGACTCAGACCAACTATCTTCTATCCCCACTGAGATTGTAGAGAGCCCCTTCTGGCAGTTGTGGTATAGGATTTAGGCTTAATCTGGTTAGAGGATAGGGTTTGCTTAAATGGAGGTTGTACCAAATAGCTCCTTGAATGGAAGATAGTTCTTACTGTGGAACTTTTGATTTGGAGCCATTTTACATGTAAGAGTCTGATGGGTGAATATGTTGGGAGCAGGTATGTGAGAAGGAAGGGCTCAGATTGTGACAAGGAAGGAGAGCTTCATCCAAAACACTTGCATTATTAGCTTCTTCTGATGGGAGTTGAGCTCTTCAGCTTCTTCCCTGAATGTTTGGTTATAAATTTATCTTCTGTTTAGAAGTGTGTCTGAATGTGAACACATGTTTGTTTCGTATGCCCCTCTGCCAGAAGCTTTCTATGCTTTAAACCCATCCCTAAAACCTAAAATAACTTGGTCTTCCCAGGAAGCAAACTCAGACCGAGGTAGACGTAGTCCATGATGAAATTCATTGGTAGGGCTTGTTTGTTTTGGTCTGCTCAGGTTTTTTTAAAGTCTGCTTCTTAGACATGTTGTTTGTTTATCTGTGATATAAGAATGTGTATCTTCTGCTGCTGTTGTTCTTTGTTTAGATGTGTTTTCTTCCAGGTCAATATCAACCAATTGAGATGCCAAGTAACTTCTCTGGGTTTCAAGTTCTTTAAATACAGTAAACATGAAAAAATCCCAAATGACAAGGCAATGGACTGTGACAATAAAAACATGTAGGTGCAGGACCTAATTACTTGTGGTTAAGTGACTAGGGCTGTTCAGTAGGGAGATCAAACTGGATCCTTCTGTCACTCTCATGCCTTTACTGTCACTTGATATTTTCTGACTCATAGGTGTCAGGGTTTGGTTGCCTCTTCCCATACCAAATTCAGTGCAGTGCTCCAAGGCTCTCAATACTCAGTCTAAAAGCAGGGTGAATCAGGCAAATGATGTCAGAATTTCAGTTAGCTGACTGCTGTGGAATCATTTCTGCATCTTAAGCGTCAACAGGGGTGACTTCAAAGGCATCTCTGTCAGGAAACAGACTCAGAAACATTGGTACAGGTGACTGCATTCTGTGGCAATAAAAGTGAATCCCCTTATTCTTAAACGTCTGTGGTGTATATCATATTGCAGATGCCTCTCATAACTAACCTTGCTGAGTTTAAACCTGAGGTCTTGATAATAGAAAGCTGACTGGCCTCCCAGTGCAGGTTTCCGCATGTGACATAAGCAGGTCAGCCGAGGCCATACGAAGCATTTGTGCTGCTCTTCCAACCATGGATTTGCCATTTACTGCTTTCAATAAACAGTGCAGGCTCTGAGATCTGCTCTTTAATGCAAAAAGTTTGTGTCTTGTTTTCAGTGTAGGCTCTGGAACTCCTCCAGCTGATGTCTGTGAATGCAGAGTCATTAACTACCACCATTGTAAATCCTGCTGCAACCCCTCTCACTTTTTGTCACTGTGTCAAGTCTTGGGACACTATAGGTCCAGAATAAACAAATAGATCTGGTATACTTCACTCCTAAGGCTTTCTTAAGGCACTGAGGTTCCTGCTGCCTTATGTATGTGCATATGTTATGTATGCATATATACAGATGCATAACACATGATGTTGTGGTGGTAGTGTTTTTTAAGTAGTGATTAAGTGGACAAAGATTGTGTTAATTGGGTTCAGCTTTGCTGTAATCTGATGCTGTGCCCATGCTGAGCTCTGGAATATGTAAGATTTTTTTTTTAATAATTCCTTCTGTAAGTGTTAGAAATGCTTTCAGGATGACAGACATGTCTAACTTGTATTTCCAAAGTGCTTTTGAGTATATGTTCAATAGTCCATTTATTGCTGAGGAGCAACGCTACCCACATGGTGAAATCATGCATAATTGTTACGGACACAAAGCTAAGATGTTGCTGGACACCTATGCCAGTGTTCCTAAATAGTGATGGTAGCTGTGCAGAACCACCACTTTATTTTTGCTTAGTGGAAAGAAACGTAAACTTTCAGTTTGATTTAGCAGAACTGTGGTGAATCAGCTGCTGGAAATCAGAATAGGTTAGGAACCTCCTTCAGTGCTATAGATGGCTTTTACCTGTTTGTTCTGATAGTAAATTTCAAACAAAATAGCCATTTATACAAGGGTAGTTTGCTTTATTGAGTAATTGACTTGTTATTAACCTGCATGTCTCTTTGAAGAAGAAATACATAGGAGAGCTATTTGTGTGTATTGGCCAGTGTTTCTAAATCAATAAGCACAAAGTTCTATTTTGCCACATCTAGTGAAGCAGTTAATTCTTAACTTTAAATCTGGTTCTAAAGCAATCGCTAGAGCAATTTGCAGTGATGGGATGCAGATAGTCCTTGTTTCTCCTCCCAAGTCCTATCATACTTTTTAAGATACCGTATCTGATTAGCAACAAGATTATCGGACAGATTGATTTCACTGAAACTGAATATTAATGGATATCCTCTTACTGTGCCAGTGTAGCTTCCTACATAATGGTTTTCAACTCTTTCTAAACCCATAATTATATGGGATAGGCATTCCAAACACTTAAGTACTAGTAATGCCTCATTTGAGGTCTCAGGTCACTGCTCATATACCTGTTTTTCTGTAAATCCTACAGAGGTGGAAGGTGATATCCCCCTGCCACCCAAGCAATCTTTCCAGCACTGTGTTTATAGTGGACCTGGTACCATGAGATGTTAGGGCTGTGCTGTGGCTGTGACTCTTTGCATGGGTTATGCTCCTTTTTCAGTTAATCTCAAAATTAAGTGAGTTACCTTGCATGAGGAGGTAAGGATTGCCTTTTCTGGAATGAGCTGAAAAGGGAAAACCGCTGGCTCCACAGACCAGCAGCAGTGCTTGGGTAGGCGCACACCGGCAGTGGTTCAGAACTGATAGGAGGGAATACCTACCAGCCTCAAGGAGGGGCCACTTCTCACATCAGGGGTTTCAGTTTCCTCTTACCATAGTCAAAATAATCACCATATCTTACTGCAAGAATAAAGCTAAGAATGGGTTCCTAGCTGAATGCTTAGAGGATTTGGATCACTTATTGGGATGGGGAAGGCAGGACTTTGTATCCAAAAGGCTGCTTTTCTCTAACTTTTGATGTGTAACTTAGTGTACTGTTAGGAGTTTTGTTGAATCAGTCCAGGGTAGCACATGCAAAGCCATGTTGAGGTTTCTGTCTTTTTGAGAAGAATAGATAATAGATTGCAGATGATGTCCCTGGGTGGGCACGATAAGCAGTAGAGCTAACATCTTCTTGAGCTGCTCTCGGAAAGCATGTGACTTGTTGTAACTGAGCCTTCTGAAGCCTTCCCCTCTTCCTTTCTTGCCCTTCGCCCCTTGTCCCTACCACCCCAAAGAGTTCCTAAGCATTGGGAGCTAAAGGGTGATGAAAGGAATGCGGAATAGAATCAAATGTTGTCTCCTGAACAATCGACAACCTACAAGAATGTGAACATTTCCGTGCTTGTTATTTTCTCCCTGATAAAAGGACACTTTCTTTTAACTTCATAACGACAGATAACTCCATGTACATAGGTGTTCCTGTCTGAGGTAAATCTGTATTGACTTCTGCATTTAGTTCCTGGATTTCTATGGCATGTCAAGCAACAGTAAAATCTTATTTTATGCTGATTCCAGGAAATGACTGATTTTTTTTTTTTTTTTTTTTTGTGGTCAGCACTGCATTGTCAGTTATTATGAAAGTTTTATGCAGAGTAAAGCTTCAAATGTTATGGTGATCAGTGCCTTCCTTAATTTTGATGTGAATGTTACAGTATTGTCACTTTCTTGTTTTCTAGGATGATCTTGCAAAAGGAAGGTCCTCGTTCTCTGTTTAGAGGGCTGGGTCCTAATTTAGTAGGCGTTGCTCCTTCCAGGTAAATATAAATGTGTAAAATTGAAATAATTTTGATGAAATTTAGGTTGCTGTACATTATTTAATGGATTTAAGGTTTGTTTGAAGCAAGTTTTGCATCTGCAGTTATAAATACTTAATAGCAAATAACTTTTGGTTCCTGGGGTGCTCTCGTTGTCTCAGAAATTGAACCACTTCTGTGCTCCGCAGCTCCAGTCCCACATCCCTGGGGGTATATGCTGTTGTAACACTATTTATGATTGTGAACTATCCATTATGCAGAGTTTTGTCCAGTTAAGAAGGAAAATGCTTAAGGAGTTGCATATGTGAACAAGAAGTTTGTACCTTCGAAAATACAAAGGTAGATTCAGCTTTCAGTTAATCCATCATCTTCAGGAAGTAATTATGTGACTGTAGCCTCAAAACACTAGGTCGTTCTTCCTGAATTCTGGTGAAGCACAGGTTACTGTCCCCGTGCAGTAGGATGCCTGTTCTGAAACTCCAAAAGGGTCAAGACTGGGTGGGATGATACACTGAACAGCTGTCCCAGAGGCAGCAGAACCAGCAGCGGGATAGACTCCAAAGGTTACTGGGGCAGTGTCAAAGAGTGCAGTGGGCGAGGACGTAAATCTGATCTAATTGGCAGTGGTATTGCTGCTGTCAGTTTCTCTGCATAGGCACAAATACCGTAGCTGCTAGGCTTGTGCTGGCAGTCGGAGCGAGGTGCAGATTATGTCAAGACTTTGAATTGATCCTTCATAGGATCCGTCATAACATACAAGTGTTAGCCTAAGTTCAATCAAAAAAATAAGAGAATACCTAAAGAAGAATATGGAAACACAGTTGTGTAAAACTAATATAACTACTTAATCCTCGATGAGGCTATAGTTGTTGTCTGGCCCATTTTTATTCCTTTCTATTCTATTTAAGAGGAGAGTGCAGAGGGAATGTATTCCACAAAGGTTTTATTAGTTTCTTGACTTAGTGCCCTGCTTTCATGTTGGTGTGTTTTTTGGTTTGGGTTTGTTTTTTTTTTTTTTTGTTGGAAGAGAAGACATTCCTGTCTCCTGCACACCCAGTTGAAGAGTATCATAATTTTTTCTGATTTAAGGTCTTTGGATGCTTCTGGAAAATTTTACTAAACTGGACTTCCCATTCAGCATTGATCTGTCTTCTACTTAGGTCTGACGGATGAGGTGTTGTTCTGTAGATCCTCTGCATAAATAAGAGAAAAACAATTCAGGAATTGGAGTACTTCTAATTTAGCAGATGTTTTAAGGAATTGGGAGTACTTGAGGTATTTTCTGATCACTAACTTAGCATTGCTGTTTGGAGAAGCTGAAGTAATTTCAGTAGCTTTCTTTGTTGTTGACACATGTGGGGTATCAGCACTTCCTAATCTGGAGAGGCTGTACTCTTGTTTGATAGTCCAGTCTGGTCTGAAAGTTCAACATTGGTATTACTTTTTTAATAGCAATTTTTATACAGCAATAGATTCCATTTTGTAAGTGACTATCCTCAATGAAAAATATCCTCAGTTGCAAAAAAACTATTTCTTGTCAGTAAATTTTATGTTAAAACTTCTGATTCCTTTACCTTCTTCCCACAAGTGAAATATTTAGCTTGTTTCCCCACCCCACCCTACTAAAAATGTCAACTTGATGTAATGTGTGAAATCTGATAAATAAGCACATCCTCTTTCCCCTCTGGCTGACTCGGTCTTCATCCAGTACTTCATGTCAATTAAGCATTAGCTAAGTGGATTTAACAGCAGCTCTTTGTTTAAATAAGCTGTAGAGAAGCATGTTTCATCATACATCCAGTATACTTAACTGAGTTCAGATTCCATTTTAGAAATTACACCCATGAAGCAAGCACTTTATCTTTTTTATAATAAAGAAAAACATGTTTGCTCAGCTAACAAGGTTAATGTTCTGTTCATGAAAATTTGAGTGTTCATTTTTTCTCTTGTAGAGGGGTGTCTGTAAGTTTAAAAAACCTGAGTTACAATGTTAAATGTGAGGTTTAGATGTGCTTAAAATAAGTTTTCTATCTTTAATGGGTGAAATAAAGCATTTTTCATAGAAGTCAGCATGTCAATGCGATATATTATGTCTAGCTGTGTTCTGATACTAGCTCACAGATTTGAATGTAGTACAAGTTCACAGATTTTTTTGTAGTGCATTCAGAAGAAAAAAAAAACTGTCTATTGTAAATATAGAACTAAAGAAACAAAATGCAGATCCCAGCTTCACAGCTGTTCTAGCATTTAAAATATAAATATTTATAACTACAAGTTACAAAGTATAACCCTAAGTTATCAATATTTACATCTTAAAAGCTAGAATAATATCAACATTAAGTATGCAGTTTGGTTTTAAAAAAAAAAAAGCTACATACTTGCTGGTTCTCCTGAAATTGTAATGTTATTAAATGACATTAAAAACCCATTAGAAAAAATTTGATCTCTTATTGAAGAAATACAGAATACTGTAACTTCAGTTCTCAGCTCAGCAGTGTCTTGCTTCCCTGGCTAAACTTCCTAGTGTCACAAAAATCACTGCGTTATTTCTAATGATCTGTCTTCCCCTCACTAATTGTTTATTGGAGCTGTTGTGGAAGAGAAAATTATAAAGTATCACCTTTTCCCTTTTTTACAATAGTCCCTCTATTTTGCAAGAGTTACTATCCCTTGAGTAGTTTCTGACTGAGGAAGTGACTTGAACCAAGATTATCTTGAGTTAGTGAAGTTAATGGCATTGCTCATAAGGGTATCAACACATAAAATGTAACATAACTTGGATTTTGTTCTCATTTTAGAGCGATATATTTTGCTGCTTACTCAAACTGCAAGGAAAAGTTGAACAATATTTTCAATCCAGATTCTACCCAGGTACACATGATTTCAGCTGGTGTGGCAGGTAAGGTTCTGTAACTTTTTAGCTTCATTCTAGAGTCATATCTGCAAATGAGAGGTGGCAATAAATGTGGAAAAACTGAAACAAGACAGAAAATGTTCAGTGATTGAATGATTTTTTTGTAGTGGTTACCTTCTTTGGCCTCTCATTAAACAAGCTATCTGGAGACTAATGCGTATGAAACTTTGCACTTAGTGTTACTGAAGATCTTTAACTCTGTGTGTGTCAATAGTCTTTTCTAGGAAAACTTGCATGCCTGCTTTTTCAGTTGTAAGTTTGTGAAATGAAAAATGAAAACATTCAAAACAGTATTTTTTTCACTCTGCAAGCTATAACCAACAGTTTGCACTGGACTCTAATGCTTCTTAGTGTTGTTTTTTTTTACCATCACTTTCTGTTACAGCTTTGTATACCTGACTTATTGTCTTTCTGAAATACGCCTGCAGATACTTGTATAAATTATATATAACACTCCCTCCTCCTTTGTTGAAATACCAGTCTGTGTGAAGTTTGCTCTACCACTAAAGTGACATGAAGAGCAGATTTCTGTAGTTTTCATGTATTTTCATCTCCAAAAATAAATTCCTATTTTATATCTGCAGTGGTAACTTCGGTGTATCTTAGCAGCTACCAATATTTGTTGCTTGATTTGTATGTTCTGTCCTTTGGTATCATTAACAAGGGGAGTTAAAGGCAACTGAGCTGAGTTATAGTCATAGACATGTGCTAGGGAAATCAAAACTTGGGCTGGCAACACTTTACCTATTGTTGCCTGTGTCTTTCCTACACAAAACCAAATTTTTAAGTTTTTCTGCATAGGCCACTTCACAGATGAATTCTGACAATTTTATGGTAGCCTGTTGAAGTTTCTAATTCCCGTCAAATTTTACAGCCAGTTTATATAATGTGAGTAATAGCAATCTGGAATGGGCTGCCAAAGGTGATGTCAGAATAATGAATAGGATTAGTTTTCTATTTAATACTTGCTAATAATCTGATACAAATAGATTTTTATATAGCATAGAAAATTTGTGACGTTAGCTTTGTACTTAAACTAATGCTCATCTCTAGCACATGAGAAATGTGATGGCGGTTTTTAATCTTCTGAGATGTAAGAGGAGCAGTCTTAAATGGGAAAAATAAGGTTCTCAGACAATGCAGTATTTTTTTATCACCTGGAAGTGTGTGTTTTATTTGGAGGTGAACAGCATGGGGAATGGGATGGAAGGGGATTTCAGTTAATTGCTCCAGGAAAAATTAATTGTCTTCAGCTCTTTGTCAAGGGGATAAAACATGTCTTTTAAATTGGGGGGGAGGGGGAGAGGTATGGGTAATAGAAACAATTAAGAAACAATTGAAGACAGCTTGTGCTGCAAACAAATAAAGGTTCAGGGTGTTCCTTATCTCTGGAAGTTACTGCCCTCATTCTGTAATGAAAAGAACATTTATGCAACTGTGCTGTAGTGACTTTTCCCAAGTGCTTGCAGGCACAGGCTGTAGTGTGTCAAGGAGTTCTCTGTATCTGCTTATTCACTTGTTTCCCTTCCAGAAGGTTGGTATAATGCATTTGTACTTAGGACTGTGAGAGACTGGGGTAAATGTATATGAGCCTTAATTGCTGTTTGCCTTTTCTACATCTGTATACAAGTTTTAATATTGAACAACTTTTGTGGCTGTTACCTTTCTCACACTTACCTGGTTCTGCAGTTGTTTTTCTAAACCTTATAGCCAATGAAGATGAACGCCCAGTGCAGGTTCACGCTACAGGTCACAGCTTGCTTTCTCTCTTGAAATGTCTTGGCTCTGTATACTACAGACATTCTCTGGAAGACCTTGAAAAGAAGGTTCTTTGACAAATGATTTCTCGAAACTCAGTACTGGCAGTTTTCTGATTTATAAAGGACTGTAGTTAAAAGTAACAGTGCTTTCTTGGGAACGTGCTAACCTTGTTTTTGTAATTCTAATATATTTCAGAACATGCACTTAAACCAGCTATTAACAGTTTTACCTGCAAGGTTTGTATTGCTGTGTGATGCAAATCAACTTAAGGAAATGGCAAAATAACAGGGACAAGATTGAATGTGAGCTCTTAATTGGTGGACTTAAACAGAAGATCACTGTAATAGTTGCTTTGGAACTTAAGATTTCAAAATTGGCAAGGTGGATAAACACTTCTAATAAATAGCCAGCAATAATCAGTATTGATTTTTTTTCTTTTGCAGCTGCCATTGGTTTCAGTAAGGAATTGAGTAACTCAGTCTTAAATGAGGAGGTTTTTTTGTTTGAATATGACCTTTCTGTTACATAAAGGCTTCTAATACTTAATGAGCATGAGGTGGTGTTTGCACTTGCAATGTTTTTCCTGTAGGTTGCAGAATACAATAATGATGCAAAAATACTATTTAAAAAAAACCAAATCTGTAACTTACTGTTTTGTGAAAGTACTGTAAGTAGTGAACTTTAGTCAACTTTGATACAAGCAAACAGTATTCAATGTTAATACCTAAGTATCTCAGGCTAGACTGATGTCATTGTTAAATAAGGATTATTTTATACACATGGCATTTTTGGGAGCGAGAAACTGAGGTATGGTATTTTAAGCATTTTTGTTTGGTTTTAGGCCTAATTCTTCCTTCTCAAGATAAAACATGTTTTTGATTTTATTAAGATTTTTTTTTAGCAAGTTTGTTTTATCCCAAGAAGGATGAATTATGCTACATAGTAGTAACTGATGCCTTATGCAATTAGAAATTAATGTTTTTCTGTTGCTGTGTGCTAGCTTCCAGCATATAATTCACAACATCTTCACACCTAAAATATCTGTGTATTGACATGAAGTACTCGACAATCTTTTTTGCTTGCTACTCGGCAGATCACGTGGTTCTCTTTTTGCAAACTTGGAGAATGAATACTGAGGCATACTGCAAGAATGAGAGCGATTGCTTGTGTGAAGAGAGTTTTATCTCTGTACATTTGAAAGTTAGGCTAAGTTCTCACATTCAGTATAGTCTCTGCCTTCTCACTGCACTTACTCAGCTTCTTTTGCCACAGAGAATAAAAACTGTAGAGAACTGAATGAGATACTTGATTCCTGTATGGCTTCCTGATTTGCCTTTTTGATGATTCATAGCCTCATTCAGACAACATGGTTGCAAATCTGCTGTGCAAAACTACTTTGCCTTGTATGCTATTGCTGTTCTTTCTAGAATTCTACTGGCAAACCAACCCAAATGTAGATTATTTTTTTAATTAAAAAAAAATTGGGACCACTTTATTACTTACAGAGATACCATACTTTTGTAATTTTTTAGTAGCATATGCACAGTTACTTAATACCAAATAAAATGCATATTTAGTTCATTGATTACTGATACTAGAAAGTTTGATTTCATAAGGCATCTATCTTGCTTTTTCAGTCCTAAGACAAGGCTAGCTTTCCGAAATGATATTTGGGAGGGAGTGGGGAAGGAGGAGGGTTCACTTGTAAATTTGATATATAGGTAAGTATTTGGAGCTATAAAATTGAACTGCTGCAAATGAGCAGAAATTTCAGTACTCAGTGCATTTTACACAACTATTTTAATATCTGTGGCCTGTTCTGATTATTTTTCTTTCTTTTTTTCCTAAACTTTTACCTGAAAAGAGTTAGATCTCACAATAACTAATTCACAAATCCTTCCAATGGGATTCGATTTGTACACATGTGTCTGATGAGGTCACTGCTTGTTGTTATGATACAGAAAAGCCTGTGTCTATTTTAGGCATTTACTGTACATTTCTCCCGTGAAAAGAGTGAGATCGTGTCATCTCATGCTCCCCATCCGCAGGTCACTTCCTGCAGAAATATGGACTAACTTAAACCTCGTGAGTACTGAACTGAGCGTCTCTTGCAGCCTCTAGTGTAAGAACCACACATTGGGTTTGTAATATCTATTAAATAAACAAAATAAGGGGAATTCACTTTCATTATCTTGAACTCAGATGTTGTGCACTGTGCAAAGACATCACTTCTCCTTAACTCTGTTAAGAGTTATTTTTTTTCTGCGCAGTTCAGGGAAAGGTGGAAATACCTTTCACTGACAGCTGCTACTTTACTTAGCTCTGGCTAATTGGAAGTCCCTATTGGGTTAAACAAGGTCTTTTGGTTTTTTTCAGTGTCCCAGAGCTGCCTTTAAAATCCTGCAGCTGATATTCTGTGTTGTCACATTATTTCAAAGACCTCTTTTCTTTTTCTTTTTTAATATGTATATAATCTCCTTTCTGTCTCTTTCTGTTTTCTCTTTTGGTTTGTTTTTATTTTACTACTTTGGATTTTTAATTCAGCATTCCATATTCACATGCGTCTGTATCAATTACATTGGCTTGTAGACTAAAAAAAAAAAACAAAACAACCCTAACCTTTGAAATATGATGCATAATAGGAATACCTGGGATCTTACCTGTCAGTAGCTGGTATAGCTGAAAAAGTAGATTGAGATAATTCTTTCCATCTGAAACTGGGAAACAATTTCATACATAGAAAAGTACAGGAGTTTCTGGTATTGCCAAATTGATCTACACTTACAATGAATCTGGAATCTTTCTTGAGGATGCAACACGTTGATAAGCATTGTAAACCATTATAAAGTTCACTGAGATGTCTAGAAAGAAAAAAAGGAAACAATTGGTAGAGCTTCACAGTAGTTGTTAAAGGCCCCCCACCTTTATATGTTAACAAGTGCTTTTCCTACAGATTTTCTGTATTTAGAAAGAGAAGCTTATCTTATCAAAGATCCCAAATGGTATGTTTCAGAGTGCTTTCCTTGGTGTCAGCATCATTAGACTCTTAATTTATTTTTCTCCTTCCACTAACTTTATTTGCTACATTACCTGTAAGAATTGAGCTGTAGTTGTTTCCTCTTGAAAGCTGTATTATTGAAGGCTCTTTGATTTGAAAGCTTTGGGTCAAAGTGTCGTGCAAGTTAGGTTTGTGACAGCCCTAGGGGAAAAAAATTGGTGGTGCTGCTAAGTGTCTGATCCTACTGTTAGGGCTGCTATACTTGAATAATGTTTAGAGCAACCCGGGGAGTGCAAGTTCGGACAGAATAGGCTGTGTCCTGTGCCAACTGCCCTTCACTGGCAATTTCCACTGTACTCTTCCCAGCCTGCCTAGAAGTATCGGGCTGCTGCTGTGGGTGAATACAGTCGCTCCTGCCACTCGGACAGCGCCTTTGATCTCTCCTACGTGTTTCCTGTTCCAGATTTAGGATCTGCAGAGACAATGTTTTTGGGTAGAATAGGAAGGAGAAAGGGCTGAGCAGGTAATGCTGTAACATATAGTCCAGGAGTAATAAAATTCCAAAGCATGCAACTTAAATAGGAATGCAAAAGATGTTTTTGGTCTTGTTCACTTCTAATTAAGAGCTAGGAGAGACTTAAGAACACATTTTGGTTTTTAGAGAGAAGTCTTTCCTGGAAAATGTGTTGGTAGGGGAAGTTAGTAACTTTTCCCCACTTTATTTCCAAGCCTTTGTTGCAGTCCTGTGCATTGCTAGTGCCCTTCACCCTTCACTGTGCTATAGATATGGAAAGATTCTGAAGTAAAAGAAAATTAAAGCTTTCTTAGTACTAGTATAAAGAAATAAAAAATGCAAAAACAATGTTTCCTTTCAGTTCAGTTCAACCCAGGGTCAAGTGCTGTTCGGATCAGTGGAGTTTCTGTGCAATTAAGTGACAGGTCAGAAGGACTCTCGCTAGTTGAACTGCAGAGCCTTTTTTGCGTATGTAGTAGGTCTTAAACATCCCATGCCTTCTTAAGGGTTATGGCAGAGTAGTTCCCTGATGCTTTTAGTTTTTATGTAATTATTTACCTACATGAAGTGCAGATATAAACCACTTTTGTCTTGTTACAGTTTCACTGCATCATACGAAAGGCTATATATGTACCTAGACAGAGAAAAAGAGTAGTGTGTCAAAAAAAAACAACCCCAAACCTTCATTACCTGTCACAGGAAGTTATTTAGTTAAGAGGTTTGAGTCAGTTTAAAAATCTATTTAATCAAAAGATTAAAATCTCTTATGTTTTGCTATTTTGGCACAGAAATACAGCTAAATCTCAGTAGCTGGTCAACCTTGTAGTTTGTCCTTAGAACTGTAACTAGAAGTCAACCTATTTAAGATTTGGGGTGGGGTAGAATAAACCTTAAAACAGTTAAGATCCCCTGGCATTTCTCTGAGTATTGCAGTCATAGATTGTGATTGAACAGAAGTAACATGTATGCAAGCAGTTCTGCTAAATATATCTATGTAAGCTGTTAACAATGTCCATAAACAAGCTTGTCAATAGCCTGTTCATTGTATAAGTATTGTGCACCAGATATGCACTGAGCAAGGTAACTCTCTGTTGCTTTCCCACAACCCCAGTCCATTCCCTGGCAGGAGGGCAGCATGTCTTTGTAGTGATATACAAGTGATGTGTGTCACTTAGAAAGCAAGTGTCTAAATTTATCATCTCTTGCCTGGCCATGTTCCAGCTTTTCCCTTTTCCTCTTCTCTCCTGCAGACATGACACCTCATTTATGGTGCATGTGTGGTATTACAACTCTAGATGGTTTTTTATTTTACTTTTTTTTTCAGAGCTGCCTTTCACTCTGCTCTTTTTCTCTCCACAGTTGTGCAGAAGTAAGAGTAATTCTTACTTCTTTTCTTTATTTTTTTTTTCAAATTTGTTTCCTTTTCTCTTTTTCTTCCTTTTCTTTTTCTTTAGTGGACTGAAAATCAAAGCTTTAACCCTTAGCCCTTATGCAAGCCTGAATAGTTGCTGTCTGTCTATATAGTTAGAAGTCATACTATTTACTTTAACGATTTAAACACTCATTTGCTTGTAAAAGTATTCCGAGGCCAACCAACAATCTCTGCTTTGAATACTAAATAAAACATTAGCACTCAAAGTTAACTGCTCTTTATAGTTCAGTATTAAAAGGTCTCTTGACTTACTGTAATACACGCTTTTTAACTGCACCAAAAGTAGTATTTATTCAGTCTGCATGCTTTTAAACTCGGATTGTATTTCAGGTAGCAAATTAAATTGACACGCTGTTTTGTACCATCTCAAATTGCTCTACCTGTAACGCATTCTTATTGACTTATTTGTCAAATTGGCTAGTATGAGTCTAGCTAGCTTTGCTGTTCTGTGGTGTCAAAACAGGGTTGATGTGATTAGGTAGGCAGAGAAATTTACACAATTGGGCTTTTTTTTATATGGGGCGTCTCTTGCTAAGTATCAGACCTACTCAATATTAATGTAAAACTAAAATAAGCTAAATGTTTATTGGCTGTATGGATTCATAAAATATCAGTAAAGGGCTACAATGGGTACTTTCTAAAAATCAGTATAGTCCGAGTTTTTGCATCCACTGTTGCCTTACTGTGTGCGTTTCGAACTTAGATGCAGTTGCTCTTGTGATACTATCACATCTAACTTTTCTTTTTAAATATTTTAGGTTTTACTGCGATCACAACAACTAATCCCATTTGGCTAGTAAAGACGCGGTTACAGCTTGATGCAAGGTATGGGAAATCTGGCTGCTGTGATAAGATTTTGCTTAAATATTGTAATCTGTTCTGCATCCCAAAATGGAATTCTTTAAATATCCAACACTTTGAATTAGAAAGATGCTGATCTATCGATGAGTTACACGATCATTTTTCTCTATTTTAATCTCTGCATTCTGAGGTGTACTTGAGGCCCTATAGTAGACTGGTCAGCAAATTTGGAATGAATTACAAGGTTAACAGTCTCATTAGAGTAATGTTGTGCCAACCATATGCTTACATTTTTCCTTCAGTAGTACATTCTCGGTTTTTAGCTAAATGTTCCTGAAATAAAGATTTAAGTATCTTAGCAAAAGTTCAGAAAAAATGCCTGAAACATCCTGGATTTCATTTTTTACATACAATGAACTCTAGCCTACAAAAAGGGGAAGCTGCTGTCTTGGATCGAAACGGGAACTGTCCTAATGCAGGGTAGTCAATAGAAGCTGTTTGGACTTACTACAGAATCGCTTACTAAAATTGCTTATAATGACACTTCATGTAAACAGGGAGGAAGAAAGACTTTTTATTCCTATCTATTTAAAACTGTAGGGAGGGGCTGGTATGATACAAGTGTCTCAGTGCAACTGTCTTGTTCAGTTTATAGGCTTTTTTACTGAAAACTTAGCATGCAATATAAAATTCTTCAGCTATCCTAAATACATTAATGAGCCACATATATCTACTTTGGAGATCTGTTGGACTTTCTGTATTCAGTGCATATTAGCATTTTTCTTCCTAGCAGGCATATTGTCAGCTGCAAGGTGCCCATTTTAAATACATCCCAGAACTAGTTTGATGGTGAGATTTTTTTTTTGTGATGCTATGGTATGATTGGGGTGTTAATTTTGTAATTCCAAGGGGATTTTGGTGCTATGTGCAACCTGATGGCATCTGGTACCTCTTCCTGTTTTTTACTGATAATCTGTTAAATTACTTAAACTATAGGGCTTTAAGGGAATTAGGAAAAACTATGGATTTCTTGTGCACGTTATCTCTGTACTTTATATCAAGCACATTGTTCATGTGGGAGACCTGGAGGAGGATCTTCTAAGTTTGTGTAGGACACTGCAATTACACAGGCTAGTCTAGCACATAACGCATTCTTGGCTCTTCTAATTCAGTTGTTATTAGAGGCATAAAAACACTTGGTCTGGGGATTATACTGGCCTGATCTTGTTTCTGTTAAAGTTCTCGAAAATCCCTCTGATCCCAGTAACAGCTGGAGAAGGCATGTGTTTTGTTTCCAAAGTGGAATTGCTTTGGCCTTCAAGACTGTCAGAAGAACAAACTCTTACAGCAGTCTGTGTCAGTGCACCTGCCCAGGTATACCAGGGACATACGGGGACCTGGGAGCCCCTGGAGCTGCAGCAGTAGGTCCAGCTGCTCTTCTCACCAGTTTTCCTTTGACTTTTCTCTTGCCTGTCAGCAAATCAGTGCCAGCCCCCTGGTTCTCAGCAGCATCTGCCACCTAGCTTACTTTTAAGATCTGATTCGCAGCAATGTGTGTCCATTCTTTCTCTGAATTGTGCTTGGTACCTTGTTTCCTTGCTCTCTGACATTGCAGGTTCAAACCATCAGGACTTAAATTCTGCCATCTAGTGGTGCCTCATTCTATTTGCATAATAGCTGCTGCCACTGTCTCTGTATCCATGAGTTACTGTAAATTCTTAACAGGGTTATTTGCTGTTTTATTCTGTGACTTGCTCACTAAGGAGACCTCTGCTGGCAGAATCTGTATGCTTCAAGTGCCTGCACTTGCTGCTCCAATGAAGCATGTTTTATGCAGTGTTGTTGGTTTTCCATAGCTGCGTACAGTATGCTAAGTATTTCAAGATGCACAACTTCAGTAAGCAAGCTAAAAATTGGGAGAAAGACTTTATTTACCAAATACTGCTTGATACAGTCATGTCTCACGAGCATTTTCCTTGACATCAGCAGTGGCTTAGTTGAATCAAATAATAGCCCACCTGTGTTATGTTGGTTGGTACCCTCTCTGTGTATATGCTAGTTGTTTGATGATAGCTGTGGTGCTGTGGCCTGCTGTTTGAACTCTTAGCCACTGTAATTACTGTGCTATGGAGCTGTTTGAGGCAAAATTTGGGGGAAATCCATTCTCATTATGCAGAAGAAAGTGGTCATTTTTTTCATGAGTCACTGACATTGACAGCTCATTCAGGGCTCTGTTTTCAAGCAACTTAGTTCTTTATTCTGTAGGACTTGGACAGCCTAGAGCTGTTCAACTTGTCTACGTGATACTTTTTAGTCACCATATGAAGTTTGCCTCGGCTTCAGTGTAATGCTTTACCTGCGATTAGTGCTGAAGGCCTTTGAGACTTTCACTTCAAGTTCCATGTGTTCTTAAATGTATCTGAATTGGAGCCCCTCAGCATCCCTGTGAGATGTTTCCCAAGGCCTCTTGTCACTCAAGCAGAACTGTTTAATTATTTTCTGATCTCAAGTTGCACCAGCTTCACGTCTGTCTTCTTCTCTCCTTTTTAGGAATCGTGGAGAAAAGCGAATGAGTGCTTTTGAATGTGTCCGAAAAGTTTACCGATCAGATGGTATTAAAGGCTTTTACAGAGGAATGTCGGCATCCTACGCAGGCATATCTGAGACTGTTATTCATTTTGTTATTTATGAGAGTATTAAAAGAAAACTACTGGAGTATAAGACTGCTTCTGCATTGGACCATGAGGATGAATCGGCAAAAGAGGCTTCGGACTTTGTTGGAATGATGATGGCTGCTGCCACTTCCAAAACTTGTGCAACATCAATAGCATATCCCCATGGTAAGTGGGGCATGTACAGCTGAGAGCCTGAATCAAATTGGTCAGAGGGAGTCTCTTCAGTGGTATTTGTAGCAGACTTGATCAAGAGCTATTTCTTTGTCTAAAGCTTTTCACGTCAGTTTCAGTGAGTCAACATGAGTATAGTATTCAGAAATGGAAGTATTTTTAAGTGAATATCTAGCATTGCCTCTCTTTAAGCAATGTTTATTTTTACAAAGGATTTGCCAGATTATGTCCCAAAGTACTTAAGGAGAAGGTCCTCTTTCACTTGGAATCTTTCTATGTACTTAGCAATTCACATAATTTGCCAGCAACTTCTTCTCCCCTTCCTGCAAAAACAGGCTGTCTAGTTTTGTTTTCAATTGCACTTAATTTTCCTGCAAAGTAGTTGTGTGTGTGTTAAGTTTGTTAATGGATTGAGTACTTCATTAGCGGCAGCCGCTAGGCTAGAATGTAAGCTCAAACAACAGTCCTCTTCTGGATTTTAACTAAGCAAATGAACTTTCCTTGCTCAGTTAAATCTCTAATACTGTTGAAAATTTAACTTTTTTCCTCTTACACGTACAAGTTTGCTTCTCTGTCTGAAAAGTGGTGAATGTAACCACATGTGGTTTTCTTTGTACAGAGGTTGTACGAACAAGACTAAGAGAAGAGGGAACAAAATACAGATCTTTCTTCCAGACACTGTCTTTGCTTGTGCGAGAAGAAGGGTATGGATCCCTCTACCGAGGTTTAACTACACATCTGATCAGACAGATTCCAAACACGGCTATCATGATGTCAACCTATGAAGTGGTAGTCTACTTGCTTGATGGATAGCAGCATGGCAAGGTGTTCTAGAAGGTGGAAGATTGAAGGACTGGAGTGGACCACTGAATGTCAATGCCGGTGTGGTGGGCAAAAGGAAAGTTATATCAGGAACGTGCAGCTATGGACAAAACAGAAGGTTGATTGTGGGCAACTATGAATAATTTTGCTGCCTTATTGTATGGTCTCCTGGCAATGTGACAAATGGGAACTGCCCCTTAGGGAATGCCTTTACGCATCTCTCAATTAAAAATGGTTACAATCTTTTCAACTGTTAATCTAGACAAGGCCATTCAGTCATCTTCAGAGTCCTCATGGGTGAGGGAGGGGGCATAAAATATATTGGGCAGCTTTATTCACTTCTCTTAGTGAATGCTCTCAACTGCATCCTTTTTGTTGTGTTTTACCGCACAGTAACCTGTTGGAAGAATGGGGGAGACGGTACTTTCATACCTTTCCATACCTGAAATTCCCATTCAGTTGCTCTGAAGATTCATAAAGAGACTGAGGTAGTATTCAGTGTGTGAAGTTTTCCATGTGGCTACCTCAAGACAAAATATGGCGCAGGGACCCAGAACAGAGTTATTTCTTCACTGCAAAAGGTGATACTTGCTTGGTTTTTTGTTTTGTTTTGTTTTTTTTTGAAGTTGGAGCAGTGTGGTAGGTCAGTGAGAGAGGATCAGATTGTTGAACTCTTGAGGTTATCAATCTGTTAATACTGGTGTATGTGGATTTCTAGTTCTGCTGCATCACCCTTTTTCTTTTCTGGAACTTTCCTTCCTTAAGTAAGAGACCTATGAAACATTCTCCTATATAATCAGTTTTCCTTGCCAACCTGTCACCTCCCTCACACACCTAAGGAGGAGCTTGCTGAATGCTACTTTATAGCCTTTTTAAGGATTCGTAATGTGACGAGAAATCTCAACTAGTCCGGTCTACCGTTTGGGAAGACAGGATTCACTCACATAGTTTCGTGCTACCTAAGAACAAACTGTATTACCCTGAAATATCTGGCAAATCCTGACTTGGATTACCAGTATCTGTATTGGAGTACAGGGGGAGAACGCATGTCACCATGGCTGAGGCAAGCAGAAAGCAGAACAGTTGAAGTTGATGGATCTTTTCAGTGCAGACAGTCTCTGTGCAGAATGATGGAGAAAATAGTGATTGAGATTTTCTTGTAAGCACTCCCCTTGATGATCGCTATATCACCTCTTCCAATGTGAGCCTGTGTACTGAACTCAGCTGACAATATAACCTTGTCCTCCAAATTGTCTGAATACTCAGGCATTGTTTTTGTTGTTCTGTAAGCCAATTGCAAAACAGCAGTGAGGCTTAGCTAGTTTATTCTGTCATAATATACACGGTTTTCCAAAACTACACAGCTGGGAGCATCAAAATCAGAAGCTTAATGTTACAAAAACTTGTACAGCTTTCCAAACAGGAATCTCTTATTTGCACCATGAGTACTTCTCAGTCTGCATCCATGATCCTTATGAGGCAGATGGCCATTATAAATTGAGGGCAATAGCTTTCTGCGTATAAATGCTGCTACACTGGTGTGGACGGAACTGCCCTATCAACTCTTCCAGTGTGGTACTTCAGTACACTTGAACTGTGCATTGTGTGCAATGGCTTTATTGTATGAATGACTCCTTATGCACTTTGTGGCCTTCTTATGGCTTGTGACTTTTCTTCCTTTTACTGGTTATCTATAGTCAAACTGTGTTCAAAACATGCAGTTTGGTTTTAAAGAAAGCATGTGGTTTGATTTCCATGTGAGCTGTGCAGGATAAAACATTTTATGTTGTAGATCCATAGCATCTCTGTTGCAGTAGTTCTGTAGGCTGTATGTAAAAGCCTGAAGCTTACGGAACAATGTCTGGGTTTTTCTCATTTGCTCTCCTTTATTTTGCCCCTTGTCATGTTCTCCACACAGTATTTGAGTACTTCATGTAATTCTCTGTACTAATTGCTCATCCTTTTAAAAGCCACCTATAGTATGTACAGCGACCTTGCCGTAGAGCCTTAGCTGTATGGTCTTCCTTCTCCTTGGAAAATGTTGTCTTACCTTTTTAAAGGCAGGGATAGTGTGGTCTGTTGTATGACCAAAGGTCAACTTGAGTGTTTTAAAGTAGTGAGGGGAGTGCTTAAATGTGTGTTCTGAAGTGGGCTGCTTCTAGTGATCTCCCTAGGAGAAGTCTGGAGTATTCGTGACTCTGACCTAAGCCTTGCTGTGATGCCATTGTTCAGATAGCTAAGTACAGGAACAGCTATGTGCTGTAACTTTTGTTCTGTAGAAAGTGGATTACTCTTCAGGCTATCCAGATTATTCAGTCACAGCCAAAATTTGAATTAGCAAAGACAGTATTCAGCTTTGGAATTAATGAAGACAATTAATGTTTGGCTTAGCCTAGGCTTCACGAGAGTTACTCCCCCCTGTTTATTGGACATGTTCTCCCTTGGTTGTACGGTCATCTCCCATTAATTCACTGGGTACCATGTGTGTGCCTTGTCTGGGTGAGAACAGATCCCCTGGAGGTGCTAAGTAGAAAATGTTAACAAGGACAATTCAGTATGGGAGACAACAGCTAAAAAATAGACAATCAGCTTCTTATTACACCTCTTCAGTAGGTGTTTAAGCAAGGTTTTAAACTTCAGGGGTGATCTTTTTGGCTTGCTTCACATAACAGACATAAATCCAAAGTTTCTCGGGATTTTTTTTGTTATTTTTAAACTACTGGTACATACAAAATTACCTCTGAAATACTTCCCAAAGATCTTTAAATTATTTACATAGTTTTCTTGATTTTATTTTTTTTAGTATAAAAACTGAAAGGGAGAAAGAACATGCTACATGAGGTAATATCCTTAACTACGGAACTGAAAGGAGTGCATTTAAAGTCTCTTGTAACTTAGTTGGTCATCTTGATTTATATTTGAATGTCGTCTATCTGTCACGCTCTTCTGTGCTAGTGGTAAAGGTCTTGGACGTCTGAAAAATTCGGTAATTAATTAGTTTCCTCGTATTTCCCTTGCCTAGATGAAACGCAAGTGTTTTGGCAAGCTGTTCAGCTGGCAGCCCGTTGGGTTTGGGAGAGGCTGTGGGGCCTGCAGTGTCCGGAGGGATGCAGCCACATTTCACGGCACCTCTGTTCCCCATCCAGTCCCTGTAGTGCATGTGAAGCCAGGCGAGGAGGTGTGTGCCGCAGGGCTGAGCCCAGCCCTCAAACCCTGCCCAACAGATCTGCTGTTCTGTCCCGATTTCTGATCTGCCAGCCTGTGTGGGTCTAAGTAGGTTTACAGTAGGGATTTATGGAGTTCTTTGGTTACTTTATTTGTAACTGAAACATCAACCTGCCCACTTGTATATTGACATTGCACCTATCTAGTTCCCTGTTTACATAATGCACTCCATATATTTCCTTTCTGATTAAGATGTTTTGCTAATGACAGTTTCTGCTGTTCTGGTTTTGTTCTTATAATTTGTAACATTCCTCAGACTGTAGCATTAAAAAAAAAAAAGATGCTTCCAGAGACAAAAGCTTGGAGAGCCTTTATAAATGTTGCTTCCTGTTTGAACTGTTTTAAATTCAGAAAACAAGCTGAAGACTGAAGTGTGTCTAGGTAAATGTGTTACTTTTTTCAACTTTTCTGTCTGTTAAGACTCAATTATGTAAGTTTTCAGCTCTATTTAAGAGAGTCTGCCTACCCTGCATATGTGAACGGAATTATGCCCTCAGAGTCATAGGTAAACACTCACAAATGACAGTTTGAGAATACTTCAGTGCTCATGTGAGGTTTGCTGTTATTCTTGCATACATGTAGTTGGCTGTAAACTATGTGCATTTACTCTGTATTTATATAGTTAACTTTTTTGTTTGGATTGCTTTAAACCTCAAAGCAAATTAAAATTATGTGCTTCTATACAAATGTTGCCTTCTGTGCTAAACTGTACACTATTTTTAACCTTTTAATTTTTTTATTATTGATATATACCAGTGCCTGGACAGTTGTGATTAAAAATGAGCAATTCATTAGGAGAGCCCGGTGAATTATTTTATCTTGTGCCATTTTATAGTGGCTGGAAATAAGCTATCTGTATTGTACCTGTAATGTTACTTTTGGAGGGGTTCATGGATGACTTAAACTAGTTGGATGTGTTCTTGCAGTTGGATTTGAATACTGTTACCTCTGCAGAACTAAGTGTTGCTGTCTGTCAACTGAGATTGAGTAACTAGTGATCAGAAAACTCGTGTCCATTTAAAGTGCCAGCTGGCACAAACTGCTGCTGACAAAAATGAAGTACGGTAATTCCTTAAAATGTTCAGAATTAATTGCATGTGCAGTTATAACCAAGTCCTTGAATCTGAAACTTTTATTAGATACAGTTTCTCTTAACAGTGGGTGTTTGATCTGAAGTCTGTCCTCAGAAATCATTCTGCAAATGTATACGTAGGTTTTGGTTGGTGGTGATTGTGTGCTGCATTTTGGTTTGGGTTTTTTTTCCCCCCTCAGTGTGTGTTCTGGAACTGAATCCTTTGCAGCCTTTAACATGGAGTCAGGCTTGATGCCTGTCTCCAATTTGATTCTTTCAGCTACGCAGAAAATTTCAAAACTTGCATTAAAACAGCACATCTGTGATAACTACTTTTTCTTTTCTTTCAGTAGCTGTTAATGTGACCTGACCTACTTTGCTGTGCTTCGAAGACTTTCTAGCTTCCAGGTCAGCCAGGCTTAGAGGTGACTGGTCTTCTGGAATCAATACAAGCAACCAGTGTGCTTATCCCTGACACATCTGGAATTATGCCTCTAATTGGCATAATTGCAATTGTCTGTAATTGATCTTTAACTCTTTGAAAGAGGCAAATTGGCAGGGCAGAGCTCAGGTTAAGTGTTTGGGGATGTTTTGACATTCGTGCTGCTTTACAGCCCCTTCTGCTGGAAGAGTTGTATTAAGCTTGCCCTGGACAAAAAGCATGTATGTAAAATGAAGGTCTGTTTAAAGTCCTAACTGAGTTATGGCTTGGCATTAATGTGGTAATGTAGTCTGACAGAGATGCAACCTAAAAGCATGTGAGGTTTAGCAATCATCTCTTTCACAAAAGAAAGCCCTTGAATTTGATAATGCACTTAACACTAAAATAAAAAGGTACTTCCAAAGACAAATACTCCTCTCATCTTTTAGGCACTATTGCCAGCCAGTGCGCTTTGTGCTGGCTTAGAACATCGTTATCTTCCTGCACAGCTCCTGTCAAAGGCAGGAAATGCCAGGACAGGGATCTAGTTCTCCTGAGCAAATTGATGCAAACAAAATGGTGTGGTTAAATGCAAAAGATATATGGGAGAGGAGGAGCTTCTGGTTTTGTAGATGGGATATTTCAAGGGATGCTCCTAAGACTGGTTTCACTAATGCAGAGATACTTGTTAGTGATAGAATTGTGTCAAGTTAAATAGGAGCTTTCAAAGACAAGCTCCAGGTGGTGAAACTTACTGCTAATTTGGGGTAGATTTCTACCCAAACAAGCATTTCTTCTCTTAACTGTGACTGTTTAAAAGCCAGTGGCTTTTCCTAATCGTGTTCCTGCAGCAGAGACTTGGGATGGGGCTAAGGACATAAATGTTGAAATTACTGTGTCTGGAGCGCAAAGAAAATTCAGAGGAGCCTGTTCTGAGACTTGATCATCCATCCAAAATTCTGAAAACAGGTATGCAATGTGCAAGTGTGGCAGAAAATATTTTAAGGGTTCTGTTAATTCATGACTGCCACTATGTAATTAGAGACTAGATAATGTAGTGCCCATATTTAAAAGGGAAAACAATTAAATGAGGAAACTGGTCTTGTGTCTGTAGCAAGCACAGCTCTAAGTACATCCCTCTTCTGCAAAGTATGTTATAGACATAGAGGTAAGTGGATGGTAAGGAAGAATTGATAGTGTTTAAAAAAAAGCTGATGATTTTTTGTTATCCCACCTGTATCTTAGATGAAGTAAATGCAGGAGATCCAATCCATATTTTTTTGTGGAACTAACTGATGTGGAGCCACAAGGGAAATCTCTAGATTATTCCAGCGGGGGTGAGATCTTAGCTAAACAAAGTGTTTTGTAACTGAAACTGTTGGATTGGTGGTGAATACTACAAGTACTTGGTGACCTCTGAAGAAGGCTTCTGCAAGAATTGGTCTTGCTATTGTATTTAGTGTGGCTGTCAATGTGTTTTGGCAGACAGTGTGATTTGTGGATGACCAGTTTGAAACTATTTGCAGTACAGTAAGTTTTGAATGTGATTTTAAAAAAAAAAAGATTGCTGTGGCCAGCAAGGTAAGATTAAAAACCAGTGCAAAATGCATATTCAATCAGTTACAAAATACTAATGAGAATTTTTGCTATAGGCCAGGAGTGTTGCTTCCTCAGTTGCAAAGGAGAGAAAAAAGACTCCAGGTATAGTCTTCGACAATGACCACTGTTATTCACCTATTTAAAATAAACAATTCCCATGTCCACAAGGTCCAGCAAGACTCCCATGAAACCATTCTGTGCTCATTCAGGTTAGGCTTTGGCTGAAGGTAATGAGGGAGCGTTGCAGCAGCAGGTACAGAAGGAAAATTCAGCACTTCCAAGGTGACATCTGACTCGGCCTGTATGCAGGCTGTGTATCTAGTGATGGCAAGTTTCTGCATTGAGCAAAGATTTGGGAATATTGAATGGTGGGGGTTGAGTTGGAGGTGTTGTAAATGTTTCAGAGGAACTTGTTGGTGAGAAGTTCTCTTCCAAGTTACAGGTTAAGAATTTCTCTGGAAAGTATAAAAATCTGGAAGTTACTCTGACACATCTGAGTTAGAGCAAGAGTAAGTCATGTCCTTGCCATAACAAGAAGCAGCATGTAAAAATAGGCCAGGAGGCAGTGTGATTAGTTTTTATTTTTATTATTGTTTTCATTATCTGAGGTTAGCTGTATAACAGTATTTTTTAAAATAATGGAAAAAGTGGTCCCCTTTGCCAGCAATTCCCACTGAAGGGAACAAAGCTCTCTAAATACATACAGCTTTGCAGAATTTTTATCTGAATTCAGCCGTGCCAGATTCTTCCATTGAGAAGCTAATAGTATAAGTACTGTTCAGGGTCACATCTGGGTTTGTGCTGTCTCTAGCTCTTCCACAGCTTCCCCAGGAGAAGGTCTGACAGAAACCTTTCTGTGGGCTCAGACTGCCCTCTCCTGAAGAGGAAAGACCAGTTCTCACAGGACTGTTCAATATTTACCCAGGGCAGACCTTGGCTAAAACAAGTATCAGTGAGAGCCTTTTGCGGTTACAGATACTGAAAGGAGAGCGCGCCTCTTGGGAGAAAATTCTCCCCAGTGTCTCTAGTTTATCCTTTGAATAGAAAAAGGAAGTGAATGCTGAAAAAACAACTCTGTTCTTACTAAGAAACCCCAGTAAGTGAATCTCTCACCAGAGGTGGGGCACTCTGCAAGGAATTCTGTGGAAAGTCACCATGGGAAGACCCAGCAAGGTCTTCTGGGGAAGAAATTGGGGTTTCCTTCCTCATCCTCTGGAAATAGCTAAAGACGTTTATCCTGTTGTTACTCCTTTCACTGTCTACAAATACTGTTTCCTACAGAAATAATTCTTAATGATTAATCTTTCCCTCTGGCTGCTCAAGGCAGGCAAGGAGAATTTGTTTCTAAGCTGGTAAATTTTTATGATAGTTCTCAGGTGCTTTCATTCTGTCATTCCTTGAGGTATTTGTTTCCCTTCTGTTCTCTTCTGAAATGTAGCTATCAGTAAAAGTCTATGGAGTTTATATTATCTTGCTCTGCCACTACAAAATGTTTCCTGGCCTTCTCAGTGATTGAATGGCTTGCAGGTTGCTTTGGGGAGCTCCAGCTGGATTCGTTCTGGATATGTTTAAAGACTTGGGAATATGGTTTGAATTACTTGAAACAAGAATGATCTATTATCATTCACACATTTTCCTAAGAGACCAGTTGAGGGAAAATACTGAAAAATGACAACCATCCAGCTATGCTTGTAGGGTGGTCCAATATTATTCCCTAATTCATTCAGGCAATAGACAAGGATTTAAAGTGCTTGCTTTGCAATACTAAAAAGAAAAAAAAAAAAATCACAAA